ACCTGTTGAGTAGCACAGAGAGCGACCGTACGACTCGTCAGTAATAATTCTTATACACCTCGTGATAAGCTCACCGAAGATTGGCTGAAAGGCGCGGCAGAAAGGTCTGGACCAGGTCGAGTAAGGTTTATCACGGTGGGTCTGGTCTCCATCCGAATTTGAGTTGGTGGTGACAAGTTTGCCGCCCTCCAGACGCTCTGCATTCCAGGGTAAGGCTGTTTTCCGTCCTGTGCGGCCTTGGTACTGGCACTCCGTACAGCTTCGGCTTCTGCACCTTGGAGCCAACGAGACGTTGAAGCGGACTGCGAAGACTTGTGAGTGCTCGCAGATGGTCGGGGAGTATTTGGATTTGAGTTGACTGAGTTCCCGGAAGAGCGCGACAAAGATGGTGCTAATTCATCCTCGACCTCATCGGCAGATGAAGATTCTGGCTCTTTGTTGCAATGCATTAGCTGTAGACAGACGCAAGAGGTATACACAAACAAACCGTGAAGAGCTTCCCAGCCTGGCCCGGGAGAAGGCGCTACACGTTGCATGTCGAATCTTCTATTGAACTTCACGGCCAGGAGATGGGCGCCACAGCAAAGATAATGAGCGAGAGTGCGGTTAGCGCCTTCGACTGATGTCGATAGACAACGTTTCACGGCGATCCGGCGTAAGGCGCGGGTACGGCTTTCGGTCACGTGAGCGACTTGTGTGAGCAAACGACGTCGGAGTTGACGCTCCCTGTTCCGTACACTACGATTGGCCGTCGTCCATTTTTATGAGCGAGCAATGAGCACAGGCACTATAGGCACTGGCTCTCTGCGAGACTCGTACTCGACTCCGCCCACGAGCTGGTCCTTTGTCCCGCCATCAAATGCCTCCGCCTCCACTCCTGCACCTCCAGCTGTAGACGTAGAGCCGACCTACCAATGGTCTGCTCGTCCTCGGCCCAACTCCATCTATGAGCTTTCTCCAGATCTTATATTTGAACCCTCGGCCCCGAATGCGATGGCTCTCCTCCGCGCCGCAGCAGCTTCAGCTATCCTTCAATATCTTAGTGCTGCTGTCGAAAACCCTTTGGAAGTTGGCAAAACCCTATTGCAAGTCCAGTACGTCCCGAGGGATGCCGTTGCTGCGGAAGATACGGAGCTCGTTCCGAATGAAGAAGAGGAGGTGAGTGTGCGTTCCGTTTTCCCAGGATGTCTCAAATTTGACAGCGCGTCTCCAGATTAGCGACGAGTCTTCTGCAGAAAATGAAGATAGCTATTTTGTTGATGAAACTGAGACAACGTCGCGCGTCAATACTCCGCGACCGACAGATGATCGCGGTTATGTCGTCCGCTATAACGTGTCCGACAACGCAACGCGTCCAGATTGGGTCCTTCCTCCCGGCAGCGTCGATGGCGTCTGGCAGATGATCAAAGAAATTACGCGCTGGAAGCCTGAAGGGTGGCTTGCTCTTTGGAAAGGTACGCATGCTCTTCACGCGACCTTCTTCCATAAGGTTTTGGATACTGAGCCACTCTGTTTCAGGTACCGCTACAGGCTGCGTAAAGACGTTCCTTGAATCCTCATTACAGCCCATAATACACTCTATCCTCACCTCTGTCTTCACAACGGTCTCTATCGCCCCGTCTCCTACCGTATTTGCACGTGCACATCCTTTTCTCCTCCCCGTCGCCTCCAAACTCGTCACAGGGTTCCTTCTATCCCCACTCGATCTCATACGCACGCGCCTAATCGTACAGACGTCCGTCTCGAAACACCGGCGCTACACGGGACCGCTTGACGCACTCAATCACATCCTGCTGCACGAGGGCGGCTTTCGCGGGCTTTACCTCCATCCTAATCTGCTCTACCCTACGCTCCTCGACTGCACACTTACCCCACTCGTCGCCGCGGCCGCACCGCACTTTTGCGCACGCCTCTTCTCGCGTGTCCTTGGCACATCTGTCGTGGAGGATACACATCCACTCCTCTGGGCGCTAGCGCAGCTCGGTGGCGCGTGTGTTAGTCTCCTCGTCACGCTCCCCGTCGAGACTGTCCGTCGCCGCCTGCAGGTCCAGCCGCGCGGGATGGCACCCGTGCTGGCAACATGCGTCGAGGTTCGTTCCCGCCCGTATGCGGGAATTGTCGATACACTGTACTCGATCCTTGCGGAAGAGCGCTCGGACTTGCCGTTGCGCCGACGCAAACGCGAGCGCCGAGCATCACGAGTACAGGAGAAGGGCAAAGGTAAAGAAGGAACAGAGGAGGTGGGTGTGCAGGAGGAGAGCTGGCTGAAGAACACAGGTATCGGGCAGCTATATCGTGGACTCGGAATGCGTGCGGGCGCGAGTGTCATCATTTTCGTATTGTCGTTGTTCGCTGCGGAGCCAAATGAAGGTGGCGGATGGACTGAGCTGTAAAAGTAGACAACTCGGAGATTGGAATTTGAAGTAGCCATTCATTTCCTTACGGTTTTCCCTTCAAACATAGTACTTGTATCATAATTCTCTCGCAATTGAAACTTTCAACACACTTGATTCTTTAATGTCACCTTCCCAGTGATATTAGGATATGTAATAGTACGGGTTATGCGTACCAATCATCCACCGCTGGGACAGCAAAAAGATATCCAGAATGAAAGCAAAAATTTTAAAGACTGCGCGGAGGATGTTTGGATGGTACAACAGAAACACAAGTGATGAAAAATGCAATCAAAGAAGACACGTATCGTTCTCATACTCCCTAGTACGAACATGTGGATGCAGGTCCAGTAAATGATCTCACTGAGAGAAAAGCCACCAAGTCCCAACGCTGAGGCCAATCAAGATACCAATGGCACGGAGGACAAGGACAACGACGAGCGCTTTACGCACCGCCGCATAATACTGGTTCACTGCTGTGCCGATCCAGTTAATTCTGTAATCGAACAATGTAAGGCCTTGTATATAATAAATAAAATAGGGCAGAGGTCGTACCTCCTGTCGTTAGCACCTCCGGCTCTCGCACTTGCCTCCCAACTACGCAAAACCTCGCGATACCTCCGACCGAAAACCCAGATCCAGAAGTTGACGTCAGGATAAGAGAAACGAGGGAACACGGATCTGTTGGGAAGAATTCAGCTCCGTATTTCTAATGAGGTGTAAAGATGTTCAACCCACGTCATACTCGGTGCAATGCTTGTCCCCAATCCTGTTACCTCATCCCGCGGATAGTCTTCCGCGAACGAGGATGAAGATGGCTTCATGTAAGCTATCAGGTCAAGCGTCATTCCCAGCGAAAGGCCCCAGAGCTTCAGTGCCTCCCTCTTCCTGCCTGTATTCTTGACAACATCCTTTTCGGAAATCGGCTTTGGTGCACCGGTGTTTTCTGTAGATACGGTCGAAGACGAGTTCGGGTCGAGCAGGATGGCGTTGAACTGCATACTCCCAATAAGCATGCGCACAAGCACACGAAGTACGTTCGAATTCCGAGGCGCAAGACGCGAAGACACGTCGACAGTCACGGTCGTCCATCGACGTGCACCGAAAGTGGAATCCTTGTGCGACACGTCTGGTCTAGAGGTGGAAGCAAGGAGCGACGCGAGCGCGATCCAATGCAGGTCCGTTCCTGGTGCAGGGTCGGGAGGAGGAGTGGTAGGAATGACCTGGAGGAAGACTTCGGAGAAGGTCAGACGAAATAAATGGCATAGGTCGACGAGACGGTAAGAACGCACCAAATGGCGAGAGTATCATGAGAAGTCGCTTTCCGAGAGAAGTCGTGATTTCGCGGTCGTCGAGCTGGCCGATGAGCATGAAATCCTTTTCTGCGAGGTCGACACCAATTTCCTCCCACGTTTGTCGCATAGCTGGAAGTCCGGTTTGCAAATTATCACTAGATAACAAGGGAAGTAATACAACATACCTGTATACAGGCCGCCCTCGTCTCCTTCCTCCATTCTTCCACCCGGAAAAGCGACATGCGCATCCTCGGCATTTCTCGGCCTATTCTGTGCCACAGTCTTTTCGCTCTGTGGAGCATCTCGTCTCAAAAAGAGTATCTCCGTCGTCACTCCGGGTTCGTTGACCCAGTCGAGCGCAAAAAAATCGGTGAGCGTTGCTGGTGGCGGAGGAGATGGGACGGTTGAAGAGGAAGCTCGGTGCGCCGGAGATGGCGTTACGCGAATGATGAGTGCGACTGCTGCGCGACGTGGTTCTGAATGTTTAAACGTGTTAGAGGTTAGGAGTAGATAAGCCGTTCTACTCAAGCATGGAATACAAGCGAACATGTACTAACGAGTTGCGGGAGACGAGATGATACGAGGAGGGGTGGACCGAATACGATGCAGCGCCCTGGAGAGCGCAGAGACGACAGTATTTGCTGTATTGCTCGGAATCAGTGAACAAATAACGACATAACAGAGAACAATGTACTCACAGTCAGACATGACAAGCGTACCAGACGAGAAAAGACCTTGTCGACGTCGTCGTCAATATCGTGTGAGCAGTTAGTGCTACTGAGTGGAGGAGCCTAAGCTTAAGGTGACGCGTGAACGGTCTGTTGTGGCTAGTCCAAATATGGTACCAAGTAGATTTACCTCCGAGGCAAAGACCGAAACTCTCAATCTTACTACTTGTAAACCAGCAGATATGTATAAGTGTACAACACTCACATTGAGGACAAAAGAAAGAAAAAGTTATATTGGAAGCGATTTGTAAGGCATAAATGACGCATCACGTATATCGAGCCGTATGTTATTCTGAGCTAGCTATCTTTGAGGCAGCTCGTGCTTGACGTGGAACGGAGAACTGTCCTATTACGATTATGTCCGGGGTAACTTCCGCAGCTCAAATTAGGTGCAATTCGGACCGAAATGAGATGTTTTGAATTGAGCGAGTCGACAGAGCCACTCTTTTTATATTGCTAATGCTTCAGCTTAATTTCCTTTCGGACTCTCGCGCATGTACCATCAAACCGGAAACAAAGAATGTTAGTTCACTGAGAATGATCTTTCAGGGACAATAGTGGAATATAAAAATACTTAACACTGCGGTTCTATAGTGTAGCGGTTATCACACAGGATTCTGAGTGAGAAAATTCCTGTAACCCCGGTTCGATTCCGGGTAGGACCTTTATTTTCCCATGTGCTGTCCAATATGAAAGTTATCTTTCTTCGCCCGCTTCAACTCCGAAGACATATTTACGTCTGGACTTGTTGCTCGTCGTTTCCGAGACGACGATGTCTCTACGGAGTTCCCAGCCTCGGTCTTGTTCTTCACATGAGATCCGGTGTCAAGGACTTTCGATGCGGTATTACTGTCGGCAGCAGTGTTCGGTGCTGTCTGCGAAGCTAACATCCTCACAGTATGGCCTGCCTTGTCGAAGGTCCTCGAAAAACCTCCGGATTTCTTCGATGCAACCCGCACAGCCGTCTTCGCAGCGTCGTTTGCTGTACGTAAGTGAGTCTTAAGGATGTAAGGGAGCCCGTCCCGTACTGTTTGTCGGTTCGTAGAGCCACCGGCAAAAACGTTCGGTACCGAAGGGGCTTGCGGTAACGGTTTTTGGCGCAAGGATATCAGACACTTGTCAAATTCCGCTTTGAAAGAAGCGAACACGTCTTCCGATGACCGTTCTTCTGGAGGCATGTATTCGTCCGGGACCGGATATGATCGAGATTCTGGCGGAAAAAGCACCTTTCTCATGCCTTGCAAAAACGAAACAAGAGGTTTGAAATACAGAGCCATCTCCGGAACGAACAATTCCAGGAACATGCGTCCCGTTGTCACAAGCGCTGCTTTTGCCGTCCCGACGGCGTCCATGGAGTGTGTGTTCACATCACGCGCGCACCATTTCGAAATTTGAGAACCTTCATAAGTGAATTCATCTGTGAAGCGCGGTTCTGCATGGAGACCGGAGAATGTGCAACATATCCAGCAGTAAACATACAACAGACTCCAAATCGTGATAGTAGCCTTGTTCTTCCCTTGAGTTCCTCATTAAGAGCCTAGCCCCCATGTACGGCAGCGTTCCCTGAGAAGCCGAGAGCCGTTATCACTCAGTTGTGACGAACTGGATATAGGCAGCAGAACGAACTTACTGTCCTATCGCCCTTAGTGTGCGGTTTGCTGAGGTCGAGAGCATAGTCGAGGTCAATCAAAACGCCCCTCCGAAGAGTACCTCGTTCTTTATCCTTTGCAAGAATGATATTCTTCATGCTTATATCACGATGAAGAATCTTCCGTTTATGCAGCATTTCTATGGCTGGAGTTGAATTCATTAGCAAGGCTTTTAACATCCGCTGAAAAAAAAAGCCTCACCTTCGACGATATCTTTTCCTACCAAAACTAGCTCTTCGAGCGAGTCAAAGTCCTCTAAACTGTCCCCAAACGGGGTCATGGAGATTCTATAATGATCACGAAGCTCGATGGATTCGAAATGAATCCATTTCTGATCCGTCGTCCATCTTTCAACGAGTTTGCCTTTCCAATCTATCGTTTCCATCATGAATGCCCTGACAGTGGATGTGTCGTCAGGCTTCCCATTGACCTTTACGTGCTCATGTTTTACGAGCTGAGCAATGCCTTTGACTCCAACGACCTTCGCCATTAGTTCAAATTCCTTGTCCCTGCGAGACTGGTCCACCCACGAATCCTTCACAACGAGAATGTTGCCCTTTTCGTCTTTAACTTTTAGACATATTGTCCCTCGACCAAGAACGACACACTCCTGGTTGATTACATCAGTGATTTCGAGTCGTGAACCGGACACTGTAACGTAGTTTTTCTGAATTTCTTTTTCGTTCTCCACCACGATTTCGGAGGTGAAGGAAGGGTCGTATCCAAGAGCACTCCTGTCGGCAAACAAGAGACCCATCATAACGCGCAAGAACAATTCAGGCTTGGCATGCGCATCGAACTTTTCTGTCGCGTACACGCCAGATCGGTCGAAATAATAGACCGACACATTTGTATTAAAGATCCCAAAAGTCATGACAAATCGTCGGTCGTACTGGTGCCCATAGCATAGACCTACGTACTGAGCAAGCTGTTCGAGAGTGTTCTCAAGTGGATCTGAAACGTTGCACTTGAGTCCACCAACGCCTTGGATCTGCGTCCAGCTAGCATTCTTGGTAGCTTCCTCAACCTTCAAGTCGACAATGACGATGTCGGGATTCCGCACGGTATGGCTCAAGGGTACTGTGTTTGCATACTTTCCCGAGTAGACACGTTTCTGAGGAGAGCAAGGAAGATCACCAAGGACGGAACGGCTAAAGTCTGCAAGTTTATTGAGGTATTCAGCAACTTCAACTTCCGTGCCTTCGACTTCAGTCTTTGGCCATCCGATCCAGTTCATGGCAAGTTCATTATACCAGTTATTCTGTTTTAAATGAGTGAGAAGATCAGAAGGCTTGAAGCCGATGATCTCGTCGCTGAGCTGCCGCTCAATGACCGTAGTTGGAACGTCGTAGAGGATCGCGTCCATGATCTCAAGTCTAGCCGAGGATTCCATATAGTCATAGGCTTCCTCTTCGATGTTGAACGTCGTTTACTCCGGGAAGATTTGGCAGAGTCTCTTTAATGTCGTCTGGCTCTCGGTGATGAGACTGGGGTGTCTTAGGTCCGTATGTTGAGGAGGGGGAGCAAGCCGTTGGATATGGTAAGTCGAACTCGAAGCTCACCGCGGAAAGCTTTTCAACGAGATCATGCGGGTGACTAAGTAATAATGTGGCTTGTGACACGGCAGGTCTGACCAAAACGATCGTAGTGGCTTGAGGTCAAGAACGAAACTGGCGACGCGTCTGTCGCACGAATGCACGTGGTCTTTTTTTGTCTATTCTGATCGGCAATCAGTGATCCTTTTGCATCGCCACTTGACCATGCGGCTCGTACTGTGGCTTAGTTTCTGAAAGCTGAATCTTGAGAACTCTACAGTACTGTGCATGTAGGTGTAGAGCCGCGTAAGCGATTGGCGCTGCCAAAACAGGAAGAACAAAAGGCTCTTCCTTATCTGACAGCGATGATCGTTTACGTGGTTCGTCATTTTCTACACCCGCCTGTATCTTTCATCTTTAATAAAACATGCAAGGTGAGCGGAAGTAATTTTACGCGATATAAAACTTGTGCGCGATTATATACGATTCTTGGAATTTCAAGTTCTTTATTCGCTCCTGTCGTCAAATACATCCATCTTATCGTCCGAGGAACATCATTCGTGTACTATTCGTACAGCCTTTTGCAGAAGACACATATTTTATTACATCCTTGGGTCCGTCATCAATCCTCATCCGCGCCTTCATCCCAATTGTCGTCGTCAGCATCATCGTCCGCATTATTGATGATGTGTCCAACCAGCATATCTATGTTCGTGTTCGTGCAGCGCAGAGCCGGCCGTGTTCCGTGTGACGGCGAGGGTGATGGAGCGCTTCCGGAGTGCATACGCTTCGCGCAGTCGCTTGGAAGCGAACACAGCGCTCCGCAGACAGACGAAGTCGGCAAGAAATGTGAGCAGGCGGTCGCGGATGTCAAAGTGGCAAGTTCTCGAGAGATATCAGGCATTCTGGCTGACTGGGCTGCAAGAGATGTGGGTGCGTTCATTTTAAGGCGCGTCTACTGTGGCCGAAGCTCAAGATCCGATTTTGATGCGCCCTTGCGTCTTATGATTCACCTTCCCGCCATCGCCCACCCCGATGCTTCCTTCTTCTCATCACATGACTATGTTAGTCGAGTTAGAGACACCATTGATCATACACCATTTTTGAAAACACAGATTTACCAACCACACCGGAGCCTTATTTTTCCTCATGTAAAAATTCATTCGAAACCCAACTCTGATGGACATCCGCAATCATCTTCATCTTATCTCGTCATTAAACCCGGGTCTTCTTTACACGGAAAATACATGCAATTATACTTAGGATGGGTTTCCCTTATATCTTACGAAAAATCACTCTTCCTTTGGCTATTTTTCTTTCAGATATTTTGTTTCCGGTTGGGGGCAGGCATCAAATTTGTGTGCAATTTGTTCTGGAAGACATGTCTTGTAAAGTCGTGTAGAAAGAATAATTTGTCAGTTGCTCCAATTGACACGAGACTCGAGGTGCCAGTTTTTACCCCTATGCAAATGCGCTTTTGCAAAGCATAGTTTTGGTGCTGGCTTTACTAACTTTTGTTCGAACAACTATGATGGGCTTGAATGTGAATTGCAGAAGGCGTCATTTACAAGGCTATACTACAAGCCACGTCGACATCATATGTAATCGCGCAAACGACTCGTTCGTAAAGCAAGATGCCTTAAGATCGAGAATTCCAGTAGGGCAATTTCAGCAAATTTAAGTGAAGCTCCAAGAGTCCAAGGAAGAAAATCCTCTGAAATTTTCGGAATTCGTTAATTTGTTAAGCTTAGTCAGCGCCAATGTCCAGAACGCGTCAGCGCGTAACGCGAAACTCCTACTAGACCACCATCTCCCCGCCATGGTACGTCCATGCATTTCCTTACCATCGTGGAATTGAATCTAATCAATGATTATCGTGTAGCTAATCCGTGTCCGATGCAAAGCGGGAAACTTCCGCTATGAATTGCAGCCTTCAGCGGACATCTCTACACTCGTTCAAAAAGTAAGCAAGCGCTTTCCTATTGGTAAGAGTAGGGGAACTCTGACCTCGTTTAATAGATCGTGGACAGCGTACAGGCGGACCCTACGACAATCACGCTCTCGAATCAACCCAGAGGAGGAGAGAGGAATGTTACTGAGTTAAGAGGAAAGAATCTTGAGTCTTTGGGTCTCAAGTGCGTAATTCACTTATTTTAAATTTCTGCCTTCTGGCTCACCCGTATGAAAGACACGGAGACCTTCTGTTTGTATCGTACCAAAGCGAAGTTGCGGAAGTACAGCCATCTGCTCCAGCCACGTCTGGGGAGTTGGCACCTAGCACATTGTATCCGCCTGCCGACGCCACACACCGGCCATGGGAGCTCGTGAAGGAAGATCCCGTGGATGAGTACTGGCGCCAAAGGGATGGAAAGATCCCCCGAAGTCGCGATGCGCGCTTCTGCAAACACGGTGCTAATGCAATGTGCGACTACTGTATGCCGCTTGAACCGTACGACCCTGCCTACCACACCGAACACTCAA